TCCGGGGCGGGAGCAGCACCATGCGGCCTGAGCAGAGGCAGACAAGGGGCTCCCTAGGACACTGGCCATGGCAGCCCCGCAGGAACCCATGGGCCCAGCCTCTAACGAGTCAGTCTTGCCCCTTGCCGGGGTGCCGGGGGGGGGGACTCACCCCAGCCATGGATGCTGGCTCCCTGCTGAGTGCCCTACACAGCTTAGGTCCCCTGGGGTGGGTCTGGGCAGCTCCCCAAGGGCTGGATCCCGGAGCCTCCTACGGGGCTTTGGGGGAGGCAGGCCCAGCCATGGATGCTGGCTCCCTGCTGAGTGCCCTACACAGCTTAGGTCCCCTGGGGTGGGTCTGGGCAGCTCCCCAAGGGCTGGATCCCGGAGCCTCCTACGGGGCTTTGGGGGAGGCAGGACATAGGGGCTGGGACACCAGAGTCCTGTGCCCTTGCTCAGCTGCCCGGAGCAGACGGCACTCACCTCTCCGCAACCTCCGCCCTCTCCTCCGAGCGCTCCAGCTCCCCCTCAATGATCACCAGCTTACGGGCAACCTGGCAGGCCCAGCAAGAGACACCCCATCAGCCCACGCAAGCGTCCAAGCTCCGCGTCTGTCCGTAGCGGGCTGCTAACGCTGGCTCTGCTCCAGGAACCCTGCCTGCCTCCTGCCAGCACCCCCGCCCCACAGGCCCAAGGGCCTCAAGCACAGGGCGTCAGGGGACATCCGGGCATCCTGCCCTGGGGATGGTGGGTCTAGCCTTTCGGGGGAGTGAGGCAGCAAACTCTGAGGGGGTCACGGAACACCCCAGGATCTGCCCCAGCCAGCAAAGCCTCAGTCCCAGGCTGCTGCCAACCTGTGCACCCCAGGAGGGCGGGGGCGATCCCTGCCCTGCCGCAGGGTATCTGCCCGGGTGTGACGTAGTGGGGGTACTTGCTGAGCTGCGGTGACGTAGTGGGGGTACTTGCTGGGCTGTGGTGACCTCTTCTGTCTGGAGCAAGATCCAGCAGGGAAAACCTTATTATGCAAAGGTGACTCCATACCAGTTGAACCAACCCCCCATGGGGAGAAACAAAGGGGGGTGGAATGCTGCCCTGGCTGTGGTCAGGGCTGGAAGAGGGGAAGTTAGTTCCTGGCTGGAAGGCAGGGAAGAAGGAGCTGGGGAGGGGGGCTGGGACTCCCCTATCTCAAGGGGGGCACTGAGGCCTCTTAGCCCCAGTTCCTGTAACCAGATTACATCTGTGCTGTGCTGTGCTGTGCTGGAGGAGCAATAAACAACCTCCATTCTACTGGCTGGGGGAGTCTGTTCATGCCATTTCGGGGTGCAGGAGATGGGAAAACCCCGACGCGTCGTCACACCGGGCGTCTCACCTCCTTCAGTTTGTCTGTTAGCAGCTTGATCTCCTCCTCGTACTTATCCTCCTTGGTGGAGTACTGTGAAGACAGACAGGTCTGAGTCACTGCCCACTCCCTGCGGTACCCGCTGGGCCCCTCTCACAGCGACTGGCCCACCCTGGGCCCAGCTCCCCAGTCACCTCCTGGGAGAGCAGCCCTCTGGCCCTGCACCTCGCCAAGCCTGCTCTCCGCTGGTGCCTACCTTATCGGCCTGGGCCTCCAGGGACTTCAAGTTGTTGGTGACAATTTTCAGCTCTTCCTCTAGGTCCCCGCATTTACTATTCGCGGCAGGCCAGGGCGCGCGGATGAGGGGGAGGAGTGAAGGAAAGGAGAGAGGACAAGCTCAGGAGAGAGACAGACAGAAGCTGAGATGGAGAGGAAGCGACAGCAGGCTGGCCCGTGTCCTCTGGCCCAGCCACCGCCCGGCTGGGATGCGCGAGGCAGGCTCAGGCAGTGAAGAGTTAGCGTGGCTCAGCAGCAAGCAGAGCCCAAAGTTTTAGGCAGAGGGACCAGGGCCCCCCGCCCGATTTGCTCTGCTGCTCCTGGCCCGCCTGGGCCCCTCGCAAGGACACCTGCAAGCCGCACAGTGGAAAGGACTCAGGACAGACTCGGGCTGGGAGAGGTCTCTCCCCCTGCCGGGCCACGGCCAATGCTCAGCGCACCCTGGGGCACAAGAGGTGGCCTGCCAGGGAGAGCTGTGGGCGAGCCAGGCAGCAGCAGGCCCACGCCCAGGCCCAGCGCCGCAGGCCGGCGAGGGAAGCGGGAACGGCTGAGTGGGCTCCCAGGAGCGATGGAAAGGAGACAGCCCGTCTGGAGGCAGGAGAGGCAGAGAGGGACAGAGAAGAAGCTGCGAGTCTCCCCAGTCCCCTGCCCCAGTACCTCTTCCTCTGAGGCCATCAGGGATTTGAGGGTCTGGTCCATGGTGCGCAGCTCCTCTTCCAGCTGTCTCACTCGGCTGGGGGAGGGAGCGGGGGCACCCGGGGGGGGAGAGAACAAGA